ATGTGGGATTGGAACCCCGGGCCCTGCTGCTCAGAGCTGGCGTCCTAAGCCAACTCTTAACTGATGCGCCACTCAGCTGGCCCAAAATCCTGTGTTTCTAAATCAAATTTTTTTTCTATTTTAGGAATGTAATATATATATATATATATATATATATATATATATATGTAATGCTATCTATCTATATCTATCTATTTATCTATATATATATATATTTTAAAATATTTTTTATTGGGGGAATTGGGGAAGGGGAACATTGTTGGGGAATTGGGGAAGGGGAACAGCCAAGTTGTTATCCTTCGATCTTAGTTGTGGAGGGCACAGCAAGCTTAGCTCCAAGTCCAGTCGCCATCTGGCCACCGTGGGCAGCTCAGGGCAGTTCAGCTCAAGGTGCCGTGTTCAATCTTAGTTGCAGGTGGTGTACCCATCATCCCACATGGGAGTCGAACCAGCAACCTTGTTGTTAGGAGCATGTGCTCTCACCAGCTGAGCCACTGTTGGCAGCTCAGCAGCAGCTCAGCTCTGGCGCAGCTCACTGGCCCATGTGGGAATCAAACTGGTGACCCTGTTGCTTAGAGCTCGCATGCGCTCTTAACCAACTGAGGTACTCGGCCAGCCCCTATGCTATCTATATTTTATGTAACATTTGTTGTCCTGGGCAGTAGTCCTTAATCAAACAAGTATTTCCACAATGAATTGCATCAATAGTTACAATGGAATAAATGAAGACTTTAAATAGAGTTGTGTCAGTTCTGATCAGTTTTTGCAACCAAACGAATTAAGAAAAAAATTTTTTTGTATTTTGGAATTGCAGATACGTGATTGTGAAGCTTTGTCTGTACAGCCATAAATCTTATTGTATTAAATAATAGAATAATAATCATGGGAAATAAAGGGTAATTGTGATATTAAATGAAAAACTTTTTGGAAAACCTAGTGAGTCCACAGAAAACCTAATGAGTTTCTTTCTTCTCTTAAAAAAATGATGTATACATAGTTATCATATCGCATGTTACCTGGATTATACTTAGTGACTTTATGTGTCATAAATTGTTCACAAGGCCTGAAACATCTCCCCAGATATTGCAATGACCGACTATTTCAGGTTTTTGTTCAAATGTTACCTCTTCAGAGAGGCTTCCTTGATTACTCTATTTAAAATATCAGGTGGGAGGCGGGCACACGCACTCACACACATTCACACAGAAAACTTTCCTCTTTCCTTCTTTCTTTTTCTTTTTAGAACTTATCAGAATCTAGCATTATATTATATATTTGTTTATTATCTGTTTTACTGGATTGGAAACTCTATGAAAGCAGGGGTTTTGTTTTGTTCAAGCACTTAGAACAATGTCTGGCAAATAGACATTTGGCAAATATTATTCAATAAATGACTCAAGAAAATAAGGCTGATATAAATAGCAGCGGGTCCCAAGAACTAGTACTGATATAGCAGGTGATAACTACTTTAAAAAGGAAACTCAAGGCAAAAAAAAATCATCTAAACATCAGCTTTAATATGTTTATGTAATATGTATATTAATGGAATTCGAAAATAGCAGTTAAAAAACATTTCTTTATAAAAAGTACTTATCAAGTAAATATTTACTATCTAGGAAGTAAAAACTAATCATTACATTTACAGGTACACTACATTTACATTTAATAATTAATTTTGAGTATTTAAGTAGACAAGAAGAAAATGTATACTTAAAAGAAAAAAATTACTATAGCACAAAATATTAAAGAATTTACTTTGTATTTTTGCCCATGACATATTTTACTTACCATAGAAAGAAACTCAACTGATTTTCATCTAATTACAAAGTGCTACTGCATTCAGTTGTAAAAATGACCAAAATTAGCTTCTCTGCAGTGGTATCTGGTTGTATGTACATACCTACTTATGTATGCATGTATGTATTCTGCCCCTAGGTAGTAAAATGACAATACAACTGATATTCTAAAGTAAGCAATCAAAGCAGTTTGGGGTCACCATAAAATATACAATAACATTCAATAGTACTTTCCAGTCCAGATAGATCCACTCTTTGGAAAGGCCGAGCTTTCCTTTCCATCTCTGACCTCATCTATATATTAGCTGTGACTTGGGAATTTCTTTTAAAGAGAAGGAAAGAAAATGGAAAGGTGCAAATAATAATTTAGGCCACACTCTTGGTGAAAGTATCAAGAACAACTACCATTTTCAAATTATCAGACCATGCTATAAGTTGACATTTCATTGATCATGGTTAAAGGTAAGACAGTGGTATCATTTCAACGTCTGTTAATTTTGCACTTTTTTCTTTCCATTACTCATAAAACAGGAAAATAAAAGCCAAAAAAAATAAAAACGATGCTTCAAAAGCACTTTAATGGTTTCCAAACTGTGTTACTCCAGATTATGCAAGGATTTTCTATTAGAATTACCTAGAGAAAAAAAAAGGATGTTAAGACAGTTTTTGGAGGTGTTAACTTGCTGCCTTCTCAGACTACTGGTACTCTGATAATAAACGCTTATTCTATGACGCCCAGTCAAAAACAAATGGAAGGGCCAGCTGAGTGGCTCAGTTGGTTAAGAGCTCACTTAAGAGTTCGAGCTCTGAGCAACAGCAGTTTGATTCCCGGCCCAAGCTGAGCTGCTGCTGAGCTGCCAACAGGTGGCAGGATGGCTCAGATAAATTAAAAAAAAAAAAAAAGGAAATCAAGACTGTATATGTTTCCCTCAGGAAGAGGGACACCTGAAATAAGACAAATTAGCACATACATCTGGCCAGTGTTGTTTCTTAACCAAATTACTTTGGGATGGGATGAGGTGGCTAAAAAAGATGAAGTCAGACAACTGATACTAAAAAAGATAAAAGACTCATAGTTACATAAAATCTGAAAATAAGATCAAGTGTTAATAATTAGTGGCTTTGCTCTCAAGTTGCATATTATTTAGTGAGTTTTATCTGGATAAACACATTTAGGCAGTATTGTCGGTAGAAGGATGAGGAGTGATTTTCCACAGCTCTATACCCTCAGTAGAGAGGGTCCTAGTTACTTGCTTCTGAGAACTGGTGCAATACCATGTTAGCATTTAATGAGTAAGCTAAAGGTTCACTTCAATAACTCCAATACCAATAAAGAAAAAGCTGTCCGTGTTTAAGTGAAAATTCAAGACCACTAGCATAGTCTGTTTCAGGGCACATACAAACTATACGAGTCTCATGCTTCTGACCCTCGTGCTCAAGTCCTCAAACTGGAATAAAACCAGAGAAATGCCTGAGGAACCACTTCACACCCCAAACACGTGCAAACTTTGTTCAACAGAATACTTGACTGCCAAAATGGAGTTGGCAGAAGTTTGGATCCAAGGCCCACAGGCTGCATGATTTGCTGGCATCAGAGAGCTTTAAAATCTTAACATAATACTGCTGAGTTTGAGTTCTACCAATTTGTTTGAGACTCCTTCTCCAAATTTGACTTAAGCAAGATGAAAGTTGCCATGAAGACTTTATTAAGACTTCATCCTCTATCCAGATATAATTCGATTTCCCACTCCTGATGGTCATACTTCTATATTCATTGATGGCTATGTTTATGCTGTAAATATAATGGTCTATTTTGAAATGCATGTAAATTCAATTGTTTGGTTGCTTCAATAAAGCTGTACAGGGATAACTACTGTAAATATACAAAATTAGTTATGACAAAGCTCTACTTAGAAAACATTTGAATCAAATAACCCCATATATCACAATTTATTACCCTCAAAAAATGTGAGAGAAATTAAGATATAGAATATCTATAAATTGCTATCATTTTATATTTGGTTTAGCTTGTCTTCTCACTTTTCTGAGTTTGAGTGATGGTTTACTTTGCATATGAACACTTTAGGAAGTGAGAAAAGGAGCCAGGAAGAGCTCTTCTCTTCCACAAGGGTCAACAATAAGATCCTATTTGAGATCTTCATAAGCTTGATGCAGTTTAATGAGGAAAACGGCACACAAATTTTAAAACTGTAGTTAGAATACTGGCAACTATACAACTAGCAACTTTAAACTTGTAAATGCTTGATAAATACGCAGTATTGAGAACCTATGGCTTGGTTATCTCGTGGTGTGTTTCAATAAGAGATCAGGTTTACAGTAAAGATGCTACTTGCTCCTCGTACAGCTAAAAAAGACTTTTTTGGGGGGATTTATCTTTTCCCTCAGTAGCTCCACGTATTTGAATAATTTTTCTGAAAGCCTTTCTATTCTTTCTCCTCTAGAGCATCCTAAGTATTCTAATTCTCAGCTATGATTTCATATTTTCACCAGTTTTTAATCTCTACAATTTAGTTGGAAGCATTTAAGACTAAACACTCTTTAGGATATCAAGTTGCAGAAAACTGTAGTTTTAAAGATATTATATAGTAGTGCTGCCACCTAAAGATGAGGCGAATAAAGAAGCAATTCAAAGGAAATGACCCATCATTCTTAAACCCTTCTCAAAAATTTTCTCACCTCTAGCTAGGGATTTCCAAACATTTTGTTGTTAGTATGGAAATTGAATTGTTTAGTGGTCATTTATTGCTGAGCTGTAATTTGCTATGGCAAGAAAATTTCAAGCTCAAATTTCAAACCTTTGAGAATCTTTTGTGATTAGGGGTGTCCAGGAATACCTCCCAAATTTGTTTCTCTCAGATATTAGGCACTGCCTACCATACATTGAGGGGGATGGGAGGAGCATCAAAAGATATCTGGCAGTAAACAATTGGGGATTTCTGGCTTAGTGGATGAAGTAGATGATAATAAACCTTAAAGTGTTTCCCTCTATCAGTTACAGACTTCTTGCAACACTAAACAACTGACTTATATTTTTGTAACTCAATTTTCTCATCTATAAAATGGGGTTAATTTCACTTCACCTTGCTCCTACTTGCCTCCCAGGCTTAACTAGATAAGCTTCTTGGAAAAGATCCTATAAATGTGTTTAAAAGTCTACTATTGCCTAATAAAAGTGTATCTTAATGGTATATTGAAAAGTACCGTAACTTCAAAATAAAATACACTCAGTTAAACAAGTTAGGACAATGATTAAGTTTTCCTAAATCACAGATTGACTTCTATGACATCTAAATGATAAAGATGGTGAAGGCATTTTTCTGTTTTCTTTTTGCAGCCGATAATTTTTAACTGATCCACCTTCTATGTGGTTTCGCAGGATGCAGACGTGACAGCATATAAAGGAAAAAGTTATCGTGCACCAAAAATTTTGTCAAACTTGGTAAGATTTCAAGACAACAAACGCATTTTATAGTTCTGCATTTCGCCTTTGCATAGCAATTTATGAAAATTAACTCGTCGCTTTTACTTTCTCCCTGTCGGCCCAAGGGCGCATAAATAATATTTATCAGATTTTTGTCCTTAGTCACAGTCCCTCAAAGGGGCCCAGTTTCACCTACACTGCGTGGGAGGCTGGGCAAGCAACCCCACGCTTCCTGTCAAGGATTCCTGGGGCTAGAGCCTGAACGTTGTCTAGCCACTTTCTTCTTTATGCTAATTATGCCTTTCTAGCCCTTCTCGGCAGACGTTTGAAGGCCAAGGTGAGACCTTCCCGGGAGATGAAAAGCCTATTGCCTCCTGAGATGCTGGCGGAACGAGGGCGGGAGGGAGGAGCGGGGGACCAGGCCGGGGGGAGGGTTAGTGTGACGCGGCGGTAACGGCAACGACAACGACGCTAAGGGCCCTAAATTGGAGCTGACGCAGGCCCTACAGGGTCCTATCCCCGCCTGAGCCTGACTTCGGCCTTCAAAGCCCAAGGAGGGATAAGTCCTCCAGAGGCCACTATCGCCTGCGGGTGGAGGAAGTGCGCGCTAAGAGGCTACGGGCAACCCACTCCTCAGACGCGCCTCAAGGCCTGGGCCGCTGGCTGTTGACGCGCCAACGGCGGAGGGGACGCGCGCACGCGCGAGATGGGGGCGGAGGGAGCGCGCTCGGCAGCCGCCGCCGCGGCAACTGAAACGGAGGGACGCGAGGGCGGAGGGCGCGAGCCACGGAGGGAGGGTGGCGGGGGGAAATGGTGGGTAGCGCTGAGCGCGCGCTGACGTCGCCCGGAGTCACGCACGGAGCGCCGGGTTACGCGCCGACGTCTGGCTGCCACGACTTGCCGTCTGCGGCGGCGACGGCGGCGGCGAGCGGATCCCGCAGGGGAAGGAGGAGGAGGAGGGAGAGCCAAGGGGGCTGTGAGTGAGCGGGAGAAACAGGGGGTGAGCGGGGCTTGCCCGCGGGAGGGAGAACGAGTGAGAGCCGAGCCAGCCATCCGAGCCGCCTCCTCCTCCTCCCCTCGGCGTCCCGCCCCCGCCTGCCAGCCCGCCCTCCTCCCTCTCCAGCCAGCAGAGCCCGAGTGAGGCGCAGCTCGGCTCGCGCCGCTGTCCAGGACAGGTGTGCGCGCGCGCGCCCTCCTCCCCTCCCCCCTTCCTCGCGCCTGCCTAGCGCGCACCCTCCCTCACCTGCGGCAGGACAGCGCCCGCCCGCCCGGGTAAGCCCCTCGCGACCTTCCTTGCTGCCACTGCCACAGCTTCAGGTGCCGCCCACCCCGTCCCCTCTAATTGCCCTCTTACGTCCCAGGAGTAATTACTGTATCGTTGTAGACATCCCCGCACTCTCCCTCTGGGGACCCTGGCAATGCAGCAACGCCCCCCCCACCCCACCCGGTAGCGCACGAACAAACGAACTCCCTCCCACCTCCAAATAAGAACAAAATCACACGCCCCTTAAAAAAAAAAAAAGACAATCCTACCTCCGCAGGCGCTGGGGACCACCAGTGGTGCCGTTTGCTTAGCAATCCCTAAGCCCCATTTCCCCTGGCCACCTTCGCCAGGGGCCTGGGACAGTGCGCCAAACGTGGCCGACACTCCCTGCACAGCAACCCTGGCAGGAGGGGAGAGGAAGGAGGATTCTAGGCTCCACTACCAACCCCTCCTCTCCTGTGTTCAACCCCCCGCCCCTCCCGCAATGCATATACCCGCCCAGGATGCTTTATAAAAATAAAAATAATACATTGATGCTGACATCGCAGATGAAGCCAGGCCCAAGAATGGGTGGCCTGGACAAGGCATTTTGGCTGCCCCACAGAGCTAGGTCAGCTCAACAGCCTCCTCTGCCTTTGTCCGGGGGCAAAAGGAATGGATGTGAAGTTAGAGGGGCTTCCCTTTGAGCGGTAGTGGGCCCCAGAGGTGGCTGAAATGTCTGTAGAGGAAGGGACCCCCCACAAATACATCTCTGCCTTGAGCCTGAAGTTGGATTTTAAAAGGTCCAAGAGTCAGACTGGGGCAACTTTCTTTGGTTCGTTGCTGTCTACCCCTGAATAAATTCCACCTTCATTTCCGCTGTCTCTGCGGGACCCTCTTGAGGGTTCTAATTTTCGTTCTTATCTGGACCCCTTAACGTTTCTGTCGGGCTGGGCGCTTTTGGACAGCTTTTTGCAGCGGCGTCTATGTTTGTGTCCTGTGTCCTTGGAAGGGAGGTTCCAGTGCTTTACAATAGGTTGAATTTGGTTTGACATCTTTTGGTAGACTGTCAGAGGAGAAAAGGGATTTTTTAATGACTTCAAGACCCCCACTGTTCCCTACCCAAACTGACGTTTGCGAATTGCGGCTTTGAAAATTAGAGTGTTGACTTGAGTGTGGGGAGAGTTGCTGATTTCATTCCTTTGGGTACTAGTAAAACCATTTAAGTATCAGCTGGGAGAGAAAGAACTATTGACATTTGCATCGGTTCTGTTTGGACCTTTGGGGTACATAAAATGTCGGGTTTTCTGAATCTTTTATTGAATTTAGAATGTGTACTACGTTTATGTAACTCTTCTACAAATGCTTAAAATGAAAACATTTTGTGAAATGCAAGGATTCTATCACATGGATTGTTCTCTTAAGATTTTAAATGTTTAATTCATTTCTTTAACCCTAAACATTAAAATAGCATTGAGGAGGCATAATTTAAAAGATTAGGTGAGCTATAGAAAGGGGCTATGCTTTTTAAAAAATGATTTGTGAAATACTACTACTATTAGTCTTTGTTGTTGTTGTTGTTAAATGTTAAGATCTATTTGAGAGTTTCCCTTAATTTTCCTGGTAGATAGCCACGAGAAGAAATGGGTAATTCCTCCACTTTGAACAATTGCAGTACAACATTCCAGTTAGTTTTAATGATTTGGATATTGAAGATAATTGTCTATCTGGTTTAAGACAGGCATTTAACCTAAGCAGCACTTGAAAACACAAATTCTCATGTTCTTGCTTCTCTTTTATTTTGGAAATCTGCGATTTGTGAATTGTTATCAGCATATTGTTTCTGTTGAGAACTCTATAATCAAAAGGTTTATTATTACCCAGAGGTAGAGTCCCTCCCTCCAAGTTTATTTTATAAATGTGTGTGTTCATTTTTATTTTAAAAACCAAAGCTGAATTAGATTGTTTCAGAATCACCCGTAGTTCAGGCTGAGGAAGATTGAGGCTTTTTTCCTTCTTGTTCTAGCTGATGTCTGTTTCACTTGCGAACAATTTTTTGTTGGTAAGAGCTTGTTAAAGACATAGAAATAATGGGATTAAAAATAAAGCAATCTCTGTTCTCTTCAAAATGTGTGTGTAGTGTTAATAAAAAGAGCACAAGAAATCTAGAGACATTTATCATTTTTAGAAATGTAAGCAAACTTTGAGGAGAAAGGGAATATTTTATTTTTCATTAACACGGATATTTTGCTGCATATCAGTATATTTCGTTTTGTCTTTGGGTTTTCTACATTGTATTGAAATTATACATTTAACTTTACAACTGTTTGTTTTAAAATAACATGTTCAAACAGCTAGACACTAGGACTGACATTTTATTTACCAAGTAGTATATTGTTTAGGCAGTTAACAAATGGTTAGAAGTTATTTTAAATCCACAAATTTTCTAATGAATTTTCAGTGTTAGGACGCAAATCTAACTTTGAAATTCTATTTAATGTTCTAAGCTTTTTGTTTTAAGATTTTCTCTGCGTCAATATTCATTCTTCTCAGACTGCCTTTTAAGGTTCCTTTATTCTATAGTCTAGGGAAATCTGCCTTTCCCCCCCTGCCCCAGTCTGACCAAAAGCCCAGATTTACAGGCTTATGCTGAAATTAACTCTCTTGTTTGAGTAGTAGAAAATGTACTAAATGTCCAATTTATCATTGGGTTATTTTGGAAAAGGTATTATTAGCCTTGTTTGCTTTTTAGATATATTTAAAAAGTAGGCGAGAGGCTGGTATAATGGCAGAAATTTTATACATACATCATAAATATCATGAAATAAGTAAGTACATATTTATGTAGCGAGAGATCCAGGTCTTTCATTTGCTGGTTTGAGCTTAAAATTCCCAGTTTAAGTGTGATATTTAACTTGTGTTTTGTCTAGAAACTTCATCAGTTGCCTCTGCACTGGGGAACTAAGAACTCGGTTCCTGGTGACACTTTTTCCAGAAAATCAGCATTCCCAAACTAAAACCACTGCAGAACCCCTGGACATAATCGTTTGGGACAGAGAGCAAGAAATTTAGACTCCAATGTTGGTTCAAGGAAGCGGGCAGTTTAGAGCCCTAGTTTTCTGTCCTGGGGGAAGCGATCATTAGGATGGAAGAATGGCAGGGACCAGCGGGCGCGTGCCCCCTCATCGCAATCCCATTGGCCTTGCGGCTGCTTTGAGCTCTCCTGAGGGGGCAGAGGCTTGGTTCAGCGCAAGGTAAACCCTTGAGGAAGAGCAGCGGCTCTTCTAGATCGGACTTCACCAGATCTTAGCCACATCTTACAAGTGGGACCGTAATGCCCTGCCGGGTTCTGTGCGGAGACCCTGCTAGTCAGCCTTTGCATCCCTGTTTGGGGCCAGGGTCTATCCAGGGTCCTGATCGCTACTGCGCGAGCCTGGAGGAGCCGCCGCTTATTTTACACATGTATTTTTTGTGTGATAGGAAGTGCGCCAACAGTTCCTATGTCTCCTTCCCGACAGACTTGGGGACAGGGGAGGGAGCGCAGAACAATCCGCACTGAAAGGGTACTACGCTGTACTGGAGGATGCCCCCAAAATAAAGGGAAGTTCTTTATGGAGCCCAAAGCCTGGATTTCTATCTCTGAGTGGGCCTTCCATTCAGGGAGTCATTTCAGGGACCACTGGACAGGTGGGTGGTTCTGGAATTGGCTCACAGGACTACCCTAGTTTGCTCTTTGGTGGCCAGCGTGCTTTGCCATTTTTCTTCCTCTTTAACGGGAGGAGCAAACGTCAGCCCAGAGCTGAAGTAGCTAATGATGGGTAGAAGGGGGCCCTTGCTAAGAGAAAAAGGAAGCTGTGACTACTTAGCAGGCAGGTTCGCCCAGGATATGAAGGGATATATTAGGGGGCTTTAAGGGCTCAGGTATTGACAAGGCTTATGCCCTGGACTCGTCTGGGTTTCTTGATCATTAGTCCTCTCTTTACTCCTTTTTTCCAGGAAGCTTGGGCAACCATGTACTCAGCTGTCTCTGGGGCTAAGAGCGAGGGCGGCAAGTGTCCTTACTTTGGGGGGTAGAGGGTGGAGGATGTTCAATGGGAATGGAACCCATAGATGGGATAATCATATTCTTCTCAGGACAGAGGCAGCAATCCATACTCGAGAAAGTCAGGAATTGGGCTGTAAGGTCTGCATCCTCTGAGCACCCTGCAGAAGAGGATGGAAAGAGTGTAGGGGCGTTGGCATGGGGTCCCCTGGAGATAGGCCTTAGCTTTCCCACAGTTGCTAGAACTGTAGACACAGTGAGGGAGTATGAACCTTTGCTACTTATCTGGGAGAGGGAAAATAGGCCCTAGATTATGCCACAAATCTAGGAAAAGAGATATCAGTTATTTCTAGGACCAGAGACACCCCCTTTAGCTGTCACTATCCAGACTCATTAATTAACTAATGGCCAGTAACCTAGCTGTCTGCCTAAAAACCAGCGATCATTTAATGTTTTACTTTTTAAGAGGTGGGGGCTCTCCTTGACACTTAGGAGTTTCTGGAAGGAGGGGTAAAAGGAACGAGGAACCTGCGTTAATGAATCCCGTAAGGAACTGCGTTTCCCAGGAAATTCCTGGCATTTTTAGCTCGTGAATATCCTAAAGCCTGCTTGGTTTTCTCCTCCATTCTGGGTCCTTCCGAGAGGAAGAAGAGTGGGCTAGGGGCTGAAGGCTCGGCAGGGCCTGGTTCATCTGCAGAGCTGGCCGGCAACCCAGGCTGGGCTCAGCCCTGATCAGGGTGCCCCCCTTCCCCAAATCTCGGAAGGAGGAGGGGGAGGCAGGCAGGCAGTCGTGGTCCCAAAGGAGGCTGGTTGAAGGTTTTTGGGTGAGTGTGGGGTTTCTTTTTGATTGTTGCTTAGGTGGGGGGGAGGGCAGAGCCAACTGGAATAAGCACTGCGGGCACCCCGGCCCTAGTGCGGCTGCTGTCCTCTGCTCAGCTCCCCCCCGCCGGTGAGTGCGCCCGCCCGACTGTGCGGGGCTGCGGTTGGGGGGAGGGGGGAGCGGGATCATCTGAGGCCAGAGCCGCTGCGCGGGGAGGGGGAGCGGCGGGAGCGAGGGGAGGGACGGGCTAGGTGTCTGCTGCTCCGCGCCACTGCTGCCGGCGCCCCGACCTCATCCCCGGCAGCCCCTTCTGCAGCTAAGGGTTACTGCCGCACCACCTCTCTTCCTCACCCGCCTCTGCGGCCAGGGCTCTGCGGTAGGAGACAGCCCAGGCGGGTGTGGGCCGGTCTGGGTTTGGGTCTAGGTCTAGCTGGGGCCCACAGGGGAGGGGGTGGCCGTGACTCGGTGTCCCTCTCTGCAGCGGGCTCAGCTGCGCTGCACAGGCCCCTGCCTCCACAGTCTCTCTTTGGGGTCACTGGAAAGCACAGCTCAGGCCCGCTTCTTGTGCTTAGTATGGCAGTCCTCTTCTCACCCCTCGTCCCCCAACTCCCCGGGCCGAGGCCGCCCAGGGTCTGGCCAACAGCGACAGCCACAGTGGTGGTGGCGGCAGCAGCTGCGACGCGGCGCGTCCTGCCCCCCCCCCCAAGCCAGGGGTGTGGGGTGAGGGCCGGCGGGTGGGCGCCGCCTGGTGGGCGGGTGGACGGGGGCTGGCAGCGAGGAAGGGGCGCGGGTCACGTGCCCACGGGCGGGTGGGCGCGTACAGTAGGGCGCCCTGCTACTGTACTGGGGAGTCAGTGCCCTGTTACCGGGTCTCGTCTGTCTCATCTCTCCCGCAGATCTCGCGAGAGTGGCTGACTGGCTGTGGGGGTTGCGGCGGCAGCAGGCGGAGCCGGGGAGGGAAAGCAGCGGCGGCTGAGGCGACTGAGGCGGCGGCGGGCGGAGCGGCAGGCGGCGGCGGCGCGGCGGCGGAGCGCAGCATCATGGCGGACCGAGACAGCGGCAGCGAGCAGGGTGGTGCAGCGTTGGGCTCGGGCGGCTCCCTGGGGCACCCGGGCTCCGGCTCGGGCTCCGGCGGGGGCGGTGGTGGCGGCGGGGGCGGGGCCCCGGGGGGGCTGCAGCACGAGACGCAGGAGCTGGCCTCCAAGCGGGTGGACATCCAGAACAAGCGCTTCTACCTGGACGTGAAGCAGAACGCCAAGGGCCGCTTCCTGAAGATCGCTGAGGTGGGCGCGGGTGGCAACAAGAGCCGCCTCACTCTCTCTATGTCAGTGGCCGTGGAGTTCCGCGACTACCTGGGAGACTTCATCGAGCACTACGCGCAGCTGGGCCCCAGCCAGCCGCCCGACCTGGCCCAGGCACAGGACGAGCCGCGCCGGGCGCTCAAAAGCGAGTTCCTGGTGCGCGAGAACCGCAAGTACTACATGGATCTCAAGGAGAACCAGCGCGGCCGCTTCCTGCGCATCCGCCAGACGGTCAACCGGGGGCCCGGCCTGGGCTCCACGCAGGGCCAGACCATTGCGCTGCCCGCACAGGGGCTCATCGAGTTCCGCGACGCTCTGGCCAAGCTCATCGACGACTACGGAGTGGAGGAGGAGCCGGCCGAGCTGCCCGAGGGCACCTCCTTGACTGTGGACAACAAGCGCTTCTTCTTCGATGTGGGCTCTAACAAGTACGGTGTGTTTATGCGAGTGAGCGAGGTGAAGCCCACCTACCGCAACTCTATCACCGTGCCCTACAAGGTGTGGGCCAAGTTCGGACACACCTTCTGCAAGTACTCGGAGGAGATGAAGAAGATTCAAGAGAAGCAGAGAGAGAAGCGGGCTGCCTGCGAGCAGCTCCACCAGCAACAGCAGCAGCAGCAGGAGGAGACCGCCGCTGCCACCCTGCTGCTGCAGGGTGAGGAAGAAGGGGAAGAAGATTGATCAGACTGAATGGAAAATACCCACACACACATGCATACACACACACACAAACACATACACACACACACACAGCCACACAAAGCGAAAATATACTGTAAAGAGAGAAAATAAAAAGTAAAAAAGTAAAAAAAAAAAAAAACTTAACTCCAAGGGAGCACCACCCACAGACCCTCCACCAACTGACAGTTTCTCTTCTTGACTTGCCACCCATCGCTGGATGTTGTCCACTTTATCCACCATATAAAACAGTAAGCAGCTGCTAAAAACAAAAAACAAAAAAAAAATACAAAAAGTAATAACATTATATGAACTGTGTTTCCTACTTGATTAAAAAATATAAAGAACTGAGTGTTTATTTCCCTAATTAACCAAGAACTTTTGTACACGTTTAAGCTATTATTATTAAAAGTGTTTGCAAAATGGTCAAGATTATAATATTGCTGAATTATATAAAAGTCCTTTTCATGTTGAGCTAACATTTGACTTTAGCACAAAAAAGAGATATTTTAGAACACGTAAAATAATATTTTTAGTTTTTCTCATTTTGTTACCAAATTTCAAACCTTACATGGAGGTTATTATAGTATATTTGACACCCTATATACCTGTGATTAGAGATGTGTATATATATGAGGGCTAGGCATGCTGTGTGTCTGAGCTTTGTCTAAATGTTATGCAGAAGTTTGTAGAGTTAAAGGTACGTAGGTTTAATTCATGCAAGGTAAACAATAAGTGCTCTCTTTTATACAATATGCATTGCATCTGGACCTTAAACATATAAAAATGGTCAGTGAAACTTCTGTGAACATGAAGAAATTATTAAAAAAGGCATTTAAATGAAATTTGCTAAGTTGTGATTTTTACGGTTGGAACCAAAGTTATTCAAATAGCAAAAGAAAAAGAGAAAGAGAGAAAAAGGAAATCTCCCATAATATTTTTCTGCATCTGTTTGCTTTGACTGAGTAGGCATTTTGTCATTATTGTGTATATGAGATGTACTTGTATCGTTCATAATATATTTTTTTTATTATGTGTAGAAAGATTTTAAGAACTTAACTAACGTGCAGCAATTTCCAGTGAACCTGTACTTGGACATCAGGTAGTGAGTCTATTTGTGGTCACTAGCACTGTCTCCTAAACTTGTAAGAGGTCTGAAGCTATCCTTTGATTTTTGCCAGTGCTATTAACTTATGTAGACCTGTTAAAAAGCAGAGCAACACAATTATAGTTATCCTACTGAGCCATGGATTCTGAGTTTCATTTTAAAAGAGAAAGCCAAGTTAAGTTGGTGTATGTAAAGGATTTCCATGTAGCTGTGGTGCTAGTTATTACTGGCTACATTATATGCTAAGTGTATTTGTGTTCCCCAAGTGTTCAAGCCACCTATTAAAAGTATGTTCTATAATTCATATTTTCAAGATGTAGGGTATGGAAATGCAAAGCTTAGGAGAGCACTTTACCAAGCTGGTGTCCTCCAAACTGAAATTGTTTGTAACGATAGTCTTTTACAGGTTTTCATTTAAAGATGTTTGTGTGTGCTTTTAATTGACAACTAACTTCTTGCTGCTGTATAGTAAAATATTAATATATTTTTATCATTAAACTGCTGCATGACTATCATCTTTGGGTGAAGATAAAATGTTATAAAAAAGATGCCTTAAACAGTACATTTTGGTTTGGAATTCTGTAGAAAGTATTTTGGTTAAAAAAAAAAAGGGTCTTGTCTGACAGAGAGTTGTGGGGATGGAATTGTTTCTTGGCAAATCCAGCTATATAGATCTAACTGCTGTATGTAGGAGACACCACCTGTAGGAGCTGGAAGGTGTCAGTGCTGCTCACATTGTAAAGCATTGGCCTAGGAAGGTGAAACAGTTGTCTTTTCTGAAGGATTTTATTTTTCTGCTGGTTCTTTGGGTTTGATTTGATGTTTTTAAGCTCCCTGGTTGAGTGTGTTGTCTTTGTTTTTGAGATCTACTGTATGTGTTGAATAACAAGCTATTTCCATTGTACTGTGCATTTTCCCATTAAATTGTTTGCTTTTAATATTCATACAATGTTAAATACAAGGTGACCGTACAATAGTTAGGAGTTTCTTTACTTACAAAATCACTGGAAATGATTAAATTGCTTTTCCCCATCCCCCAAGGTGCATTTTTCTTACTTCCGTATAGTAAAGTTGAGCTTTTACAGTGCATAATGTGACATTTGGAATGCTTATCAACTGCATGTAAACATTAATAACCTGCACTTTTTTGTCTTAAGGTTTGTTGAGCTGTTTTGTTCACTGTACTTTAACTGTGATATGGAAAAGACTGCATTCTCTGTGCTGTTACTAGTTAGGGAAGAGAATTGCTTTGATTTTGTCTCTTGTTTACTATAGCTTCTTAAAAGTTAAGCCTTGTACTACAGGTTGTTGGAGTACTCCTAGATCAGTGTTTCATAGTAGCCAGCAATAAGTAGTGCAAGTCAACAAAAACACAGCAAACTTAGGCAAAGTGTCCTTTCTTTGAGATGCGAGTTCTTTCATGGGGTTTTCTTTAGGGTCAGAGTTACCTAAAGTGAAGCCTTTCTTATCTATAGACTTCAGATTCTGCTTGGAATCCTACCGGATCAAGAAGCACATGTATTGTGCAATTGTCTTTACACTATAACAGTTAAACACAATCTTACTAAGATTTTGAAACCATTGTCTGATTTATGGTCAGTGGGTTTAAAAAGAAATCTACATGCAGATCTTTTAAGATGTAAGAGATGATTATAGAAAAGACTAAGTGACTGTAAAGATGCTCTTTTTTGCATCTCACTTTACCTCCCCAAGCACCCTCCCAAGCTTCCCTTCTCCCCTCTCCTGTTTCATCCTTTCCCCACCCTTTGCCCCCAGGTGCTCGGTACTTTACCAAGGTTCTATATCTCAGTGTTTTATGTTGGAGTTTTTCCTTGTTTTTATTTTAACTAGTTGGTAAACCCTGTTTGTACTGAAACAAAAAAGGAAATGGTTGGTATATTTGACCATATGTGTTATTCATAGAAGACAGTATGATCAAATGTGCCAAAAACAAGCAAACAAAACTTAATTCCTGATAAGTATGCCTTATTTTTAATGATCTGCTTTGTCTTACAATTAAGGTCCAAGAGCTTGGTTAAACTATTATTTGCCTAAGTTTAAAAGAAAACTTGAAATGCATTGCAATATTGACGTTCTTTAAAATGAGAGACACTGTCAAGTAATTTAACCTAGAGATCAGCCACCAGTTTTAAAATGCCCATATATATGTGTGTGTGTTTGGTGGTGGTGGTGGTGGTGTTTTTTTCTTTTAAATCACCAAATCTTTTTTTAAGCTACTTTTTATTTGTGCCTCCTATTTATCATGCTGATGTTAGAAGCAGCAGTCATCCAGCCACAGAGGGAGCTAAAGTTAACTAACCAGAACTGTAGAAATCATTATACATGCCTTTGACAACAAAGGAAGTTTATAAGAAAAGCTATGTCGGCTTTTCCTCCACTAGATACAGATTGGAGGTAGATGAATATTTGCCAAATGGGGGGGAAAAAAACAAACAATGCGAGTCAGGAAAGACAGACTTTTCCAGCTTCTCAAAAGCCATGGAGAGTAGAAACCAAAACCAACAGGGAAAATAAAAAACCTTGAAAGTCTCACTTTCTAGTTGTCCCATGCAGGGGTTGAAATTTGAGTCAAAGTGGAAAATATATCAATGTGGTTTTTAGGTCTTCACATCTGGAGATGCATAACTATTCCAATTTGATTTTTCAGGTAATGGAGAAAGCTGCTAGTAATTTTAACCCCTGCCTAACAAAGACAGATAATTTCATTTGGGAGCAAATACTTATTGCCTTGAAAAATAGCACTGTAATAGCCTATGATAATTAGTTGTAGAATAACCTTTATCCCTTTTAAACTATGCAAATTATTAAATAAGTGTAAATTAGGACTCAATTAAAGATAGTTGATTATATTGCAATCAGATGGCATTCACAAACGTAACTGGAGCATATACAGATAAAATCTATTAGTCAAGAGTTTTGTATGCTAACAGAAAAATATAATTTAGCTACCTATTCTAAAAATGGTGAATATTATTAATATTGTATAATAGGACTGGGAAGACTGCCTCCTTTTTTGAAGAGAGAGAGATAAAGGATTTTTATAATTGTTTTTCATCAAATTTTAATATTTTTGTCAAATTTTTAGGTATTTAATTTGTAAAACAGTTTGCTTTGTACTGGCATACAGAATATAGGGTATTGATTTTAAACTTTTGAAGCCAAGTGATCAAGTACATTTGTAATAAAAGTCAATGGATCTATATCAGTTGTACTCACTGTTTTCATTTCTTATTATAGGAATGCTGTACTTTTCTGCAGGAAAACAGCTAAATTTGGGTGGAAGGGAGGGGAAAAAATAAGTCCGTTGAGAATCTGGGTGGGTACTATGGCCCAAGCACTTTACACAATCTTTAAGTCAGTTAAGATTTGGTATATTTAAAAAGATGCTTGTGTCAATTTTTTTCTTCCAGTTTTTTTTTTTTTAATGGAACTTGATGTTTGTGGGGATTATCTCATTCATGGTTTCTGTTCTTTAACATTTTGCATTTGGCACTGTTGAAACTTCCTAAACTAACATTTTTCTTTTATGACACTTTGGGTTATCTGCCAGCCATGGTGACCCCACCATGGGCATGATTATTTGTATCTCCCTCAAATGATTTACCCTCTCTTTTTCAGTTTTCCCACTCAGTTTTTCATATTGCTTACACACACATGCACACACGCATGCACACACGCACACACGCACACACATTCCCAGATGATTTTAGAATGGGGATTTCTGAAATTGTTGCTCTTGTGGCTATCATAGCTCCACAATTGATTTTATTATACATGTGAACATACTTTTAAGATTTTTTCCCCCAAAAAAGTGAGATACCAAATCTAATGACTTTTTTCTCTTTTCGGAGTGTTTTCAATATCAGAATGAGATCCCACTTTCTATGTAAAAGAATGCTAAAACAAGGGAATCTTTAGCAACTTAGGTTTGGAACAATTGGTGATAACTCTGAGTATAACATTTATAGTTGATTATCCCCTCAATTTGAATATCTTAATAACTTGGAGATATGTATACTTCTCCATGAGAGTGCAATGAATAGGAAAGAGAATTTATTTATTGGAATTGCTTAACTCACTGAAATTATTTGTGCAAAGTTATCAAAGTTTAACCATTTTTAAGTCAGACATACGTAATATTTGTTTTTTTCATTGCAAGTTAACCAAATATAGGCCATTCATAATAAAATACACTATAAAACTAAAGTGATCACTGCTATTAAAATTACTGTTTTCACAGAGCAGCATTAATTATTATAGAGAATTTACAATATATTTTTAAGAACAGCTTATTTTAATAATTAAGTTATTGATCCTAAAACAAAGCCTAAATTTAAGGCCTAGGCCACTTGACAGGCTCTTTTTAAACAAATTTAATTATCATGGGTTAAGTGAAAATTATCTAAACTAGCATAAACACGAGTCAGGTAGAATTTCATGATGGGACAACAACCAGATGAAAAGTGAAAGATATGATTGGTTTCAAGCCAATAGTCATCTTTCAATTGTTAAACTGACTACCAAGTTTTTATGTTGAATGGTCTAAGCAATTGTCTTTAGGAAAGTTGAGTATGGCAACTCACTTGTTGAAAACATTTTTCTTAAAGAACAATTTCATAGCTACACATTTATTTTTATTTTGTCCCCATATTACGTTTGTTTTTTGTTTTTTTTCCCTGATGTACTTTGCTTTTGTGGAAGATTGTCTCGTTTGATAGGTGGAAACGTGGTGATGATACTCTGTATAAAATCAAATGACTTAAAGACCAGAAATATTTTACTCACTTTGGAATCACAGGATTTTTGTGTTTTCACAAATACATACTTTGTTTCAATGATTAGTAATTTGCTTATTAATTAAATTTTTGTAGCATTTCATGGGAAAATTTTAAGCTAAAGAGTTTAATTTTCTTTAGTTAGGATGCACTTTAATAAATTCAAGAGGCTTCCAAGTTCAAGGACCAAACCTTTATATTCTAGAATTTTGAGAGACATGGAAATACTCTTGTTAGCATATGTTTTGGTCTAAATAAGATTAATGCAGAAGGATCCTAAGAGGACTTAAGAAAAGATGTCCTTAATATGAAGTGGCAAATTTATGGGACAGGTGACTTATATATTGACCTTGACTTAGCCAGTGATGGTTATCAGCTAATGAATTGAGTAAAACTCCCCATTCAACTGGAGTGGCAATTCCAATGCAGGTAGTTGTTAGTGGCATTTGACCTACCTCCCTACCATATAGGTCTGGCATTTTCCTTTACCCATCCTTTTTCCTTGTTTCTCTTTCTTTGTTCTTTTCTTTGCCATAAGCCTGTCAGTGACAGTCAAGCTTACCCCCTTAAAAGGGAAGTAAAGAAATTGCTGACCTCCTGCCTTAGAACATAGCAAACTGACCCCAGAAAGATTTCTGTATTATGAGGTAATCAGGCAGTTTTTCTGACTGTTGTTTTCCTGACTGTTGTTTTCCCCATAGTCTTAAGTTGGCAGTTGGAAGGTCATCAAAATTGTTAAGAAAATTTGTGAACTGAAGAGAGTAAGAAGTATGTGTATTTTAGGTAAGTTACTGGGGGTTGAGACTTACTGGTTTGGAAATTGGAGAGCAGAAAGGGGAGATGTGTTAGTGTATGGGAGTGTGAGGTACATAAGGGAGTGCTTTGGAGTTAAAGTGGGAAAAATTTTTATTGGAGGTAGGAAAAGATGCTAAGGTGGAGTCTTACATGAGAGTTGTTTGCTAAGGACAGTGAAGTAGATCTTCATAAGGAAGTTTCAGTAAAGCCAGAGAAAATGGGTCTTTTGTTGGTGATGAGAAAACTTGGTTTGTAGCTTGATGACATGATGATACATTATACAAATCTGTTTTCAAGTTTAGGATGTTTTTCTGGACAAATTAAGTAGCACAATTGTAGAGTGGCAACTTTTCTGGTCAAGGCAAGTTGGTGCTGAGGACTTAACTATTTTGAAAGAAGAAAATGTCAAACTTTGCCACAGTTATGATTTTGAAATTATATCGGAAATATACATCATGTGTACTATATATTCTACTTGGCTTATGTTACAATGTAGCTTACCTTTACTTTTCAAAATGATCCTTAGATCGAAATCATTTGAATTTGTAGTCCACAAAAACCCATATTATACCTTGATTTTACAGAACCTTGAGCTGTTGGTCCACAGAAATTTTTAGAAAGAGGACAATAAACCAGATAAAAACACTAAATTGCAATTTTAGGTATCGTCTATTTCTTTTACATTTGCAATCCTAGCAACCATTTAACGCTGTGGACCTTATGAGACCCTCAGAATACTATATTTATGAAATTAGACAACATACCTCCCCGCCACCCACCCCCCCGTAAAACTCGAGTTTCTGTTTGTCTCCCCACTTTCTCTATTACTTTAAAATTATAGAATTCCCAAGAGTTTGCGGTGGAAAATGTTAATAATGTAATTTAGTATATCTTGGAAGTTCTTATGCTCTTTGAGGAGAATTGATCGTGTTTAGATTTCTGTTCCCAGCATTTCAGGAGCATTTTAAATTATTTAAGATAAATTGCTATAATATTTTTTAAGTTACATAATTCAAGTATGTTTGGATTAACTGTTGTTTTCTAGTTTAGTATGGACTTATTCTCAGTGATTTTTGACAGATTACGTGTATTGTTTCATTTTACCCAAATCTATATACGTTAGTGATAAAATCCCTTTAATGATAGCTAAAAAATGGTTTTGATTTTGTATTTGGAACTTAATGTTTTTTTGTTAAATTCATTAACAATAGCAGAATTGTTTTTATTATAACATTTTGTAGAGTTGACAGTATGATTTTTACATTTTATTATGTGTCAGATTTGAAATTAGAACAGTTACAAACTATAACTTATTTAAGTCAGTCCAAGGCCTTCTTAAATAGCCCTCCTCCCATAGGAATTGTTTTAAAAGAAGTGAATTCCCAAACCTGTGTCAAGAACCAGTGATTTAAATGTCTTTGAAAGGCTTCCTTGAGTCTAGTCAATGGAGATAAATGATAGCCCATTTCCATGCTGCATAGTTGTTAGGGTTTATAAAGTTGTCAATATGTAAAAGTGCAGAAGCAGGAAAAACTGTAAAATTGCCTATAAAATTTCTAGTTTTCATTATTTGCACTATTTACCTTTGCACTTGATTTTTTGAAAGTTAAGACTAGTCACTTTCACTTTTGTTTCTAGTCTTTTTAAATTTCTTACAGAGTTATGTTTTCAATATCCCACCCAAAGCAAAGCTTATATGCAATTAAATATGCTTTATAAGTCTGAGAAAATATTTCTTAGTGTTAGCTATGTAGAACAAAAATTTGTTTTGATAAAATTTTTAATATGGGCCTTTATTTGCCAATAAAATCCTTTGTAAGTGTGAGCTTTATTAAACTGTTTGAATAGACAAAGTGAAAGCTTAGGATAGGACTATATATATATATATATATATGTATGTGTGTATATATATATATGCATAATGATGAATATATGAGTATATATATATATATATTCATAATGATGTCTTCGAGATCCAACTTCCTTCCTGAGATGGCCTGGTTTTGGAGTAATTTGTTTTCACTGAAGTCAATGAGATTTTGAATCTAGCAGAGTATTGGCTTAAAAACCTGAAAGTGAAGTGGGTGGCAAGTGGCAGCTCCCTCTTTCATGTAGTTTTCCATAATGCTCATAGAGTTTCCTCATGGTCTGTGTGATATAACTGGTATTGAAATAATTATATTAAATGAATATTCCTTTTAGGAATACAAGCTTGACTCATTTTTTGAGGGGGGAGGGTGGCAAGGGATAAGAGACTTTATTTTAACTAGAGGCAGTCTTACAAGATGTGCTCTAGAAAGAATAGAACAAAAAGTGTACCTGTGAACATATTTTTTGTCTTAGTGAGATTGATTGTACAGCACAGTTAGGTTCAGAATTTAAAAATAAAAACTGGTTAATAGTTTTGTCAATAGAAAAGAAATGTGTTTTGGCTAAAATTGTTTTTTGTAAGTTATTTATCTCATTTTATAATCCCCTTCCAATAGCCATTTAGGCGCTTCATACTTAAAACCAACAAGTGAAAGGCCTCTCTTCAGATCTGGTTTATTTTTGGAATGCTTGAGTGTATTTCTGGATGGGGGTTGGGGGACAAGGGGTAGTGTTTTAATTATATTGACATGCTCTTTTCAGCATGTTTTGCTAGTCATTCTGGATCTTATGTTTGCAAGTTGTGTTGAAAATTCAGTGATGTATTTGAAACGAGAAAGTCCTCTATGACATAGTATGAATGTTTGTGGCTGGACTCTATTGTGGAACCTTTTGGCTTTGTTTTTAATTTGGGTAGAAAGTTAAATTTCCATTGTTCAGATTTTAGGTTTACCAGTGGAATTGTGCCCGGTAGTTGTCTAAATATGGACCAATTTTGGGAAATGGAGGTTGACAGTTGTGTAACTGACTCTAGGTAATCCTTTACTCAAAATAGTAAATTAAAGGCTTACATCATAAGAGTTGTCTTAAATTTTATGTTGTCAAATCTTTAAATGTGGATGATGATCAGCACTTTATCTATGAATTTCCTTTGGGAAAAGAGAAAAACTTAGTCTCCAGACCTTTTCCTGGAGACTAAATTGACCATATACGGAAAATGAAAAAAATTTAGAAAGTAGCTTTGATTATTTTTTAATGGAGTTTAATAAGCTTAATCAATTATTTTTCCTAGTTTGAAGCCCTTATTTCCCAAATGTGACTAAAGGGGAAAGATCAGCAATTTGGCCCTCTCCCCCTTTTTTTGAGGCCATTTTTAGTTTTCTGTCCCCATTTCCCAATCCTAGTATAAAGTGAATTACGGGTATCCCTCTAAGTCTCTGTAACCCCTTTTTGGGGTCACAGATACCTTTGATAATCTGATGAAAGTGATGGACCCTTTCCCCAGAAAAAAAAATGCACATACATAGATAATTTTGCATACAACCTCAGGGGCATCACACATCTTCTGAAACCCAAGTTAAGGATCTCTGCTGTAAGTAAACTCTATAGAGAAAATTTTAATGCAATTAATTGATAAAATTAGGAATTAGCTATTGGCCTAAAACATTTCAACTTGGAATTATTGTTAGATGGTGGCCCCTACTAGCAAAATGTGACATTGCAACCAGCTTTGTTAGACATTATAACATCCAGACAGAAGGAAAAACGAAGCAAAGTTCTGAGAGCTGTTTATAAGGAGTCAGGGCATCTCTAGACATGGGAGCCGTTCCTGGTTCAAGGCAGGGGTCAGGGTGCCTGACAGTTTCTAGCAGGGTAGAGTTTGATAAACCACAATGCTCAGGATGCCAAGGGGTTAGCCATTATCTTAACCCCTTCCTCACCAAAAGATTTTAGTTTTGTCTACTGGGAAACAAAATGTCACTAGGGAAAAAAAAAGTTTGCCTTATAACTTTGCTGGAACACATCAGTTTGGTGATGTATGGGACACCAGTATTATTTTTGAGAAGGTGCATAAAACCAAAGTAAATTATTCTCTATGTAGAACATTATTTACTAGTAACATTTGTTTGGATGTATTAGCTTTGACAATTTTTACCAGTAAATATTGGTTTTATTTAAAACTGGGACTCCAGTTTATAAATAGGATAGTTGGTATATCTGTCCTTTTCCCCATGTAAAGAATAGTTTAAAGATTTATGCATACTTTTTACTTTTCTCTCTTGATGCCATGGAGTGGGATGGTTGGGGTGGGGGGAGATCTTTGAGTCAACAACTGACAAAATGTCTTCTCCAAATTAAAAAATTGAGAAGCAGCACTTTAAGTCTAACTCTATACCATTTTAGTGCATGTATTAGTTTTATTAATGATTTTTGGTGCATGCCTTTGGGCTTATTCAAAAGTGTACAATAGGAAAGTATATTTCCTTTCTTAGAAAGGAGATGTTTTTCTACTTTGCAACATGTGATTACAAAAATCTTCCTCTGTGGGAAGATTAACCATGTATTGAACTACTGAGAAGTATATATTTTTAGATATACAGAAGGAATCTACATGGAGCAGCATTCAGACCTATATAGAAGTCATAGCATTCTGTATAGGACCAAAAAGGAAATAACATTAAACACTTAAACAGACTTTGTTGGGTAGAAATACCTTGAGATCTTGCATTGACTTCAAAAAAGAAAATGCCACAGAAGTTTGCCGAAAACTTTTGTTGTTCGAATTTTCTCTGTCAGTGTATTTAGCCCAAGTACAATAGCTTTGGGTTTACACATACGTTAAGAATCAAAAAAACAAAGCCAACTAAATAGATCAGCCTGGTTCGCCAATCCAGCTTGACTGAAATAAGTAAACTAATCACTTGCAACATGAAAAACTGTCCAACTCCTCTAAGGTTTTGACCAAGTGACCTTGGCTGATGTGGGAAGGCTCCCACTCTGATATCTGACCTGACAGTGAAGATTCTTGCTTCACCTGATTTCAAACCTGACAGCGTCTGTTTAAGGAGCTATGGTACAGTTTGCTAATTCAATCCCAGATACCTGTTGATTACCTGTGAGATCTAGAGTCCAAAGTAGCCAGCAGCCGTAACCCTGAGTGCTCTGTGCCCATCAGATCTCTTAAAGTAAGCAGAGTTGGGACAGGTCACAGCTCAGATGAGTGCCCTCAGGTGCTGTGGACAGCCCAGCCTCAAGAATTGTATCTGCTTTCTTGGGAATCATCACTGAACTAATGTCCCACGTGGTGTTACTTACTGTAGTTGCTCCCTCTTGGAGGAGGCCCAGAGCACACATCCTAACTGCTTGAGGTACTCAGAGAGGGGGTGCTAACTCTGAGGCCCTGGCCAAATTCCAGTTTAGGGACGTTGGTCTTCTTACCATTCTAATTGGAAATGTGCATCACTTCCCATTTTCCCAAACCAACCTAGTCTATTTTTTTGCCCCAGTTCCAAGTCTCTAAGATGCTGGTGTGTATTATATGGGCCAAGTTCATGCCTTTTCCTAGTTGCACAAGAGTTCAGGAATGAGTGAGCTTGGTGTGGTGTCAAAGTGCCCTGTAGTTGGAGGGTAAACTCTTGTGATGCTTTGGGGATGAAATCGGTCCTCTTTGAGCTCAAGTTGGGGAATGTGCACTGGCCGGAGGCTTCCAGCCATGAGGTGTGAGCTGATTGAAATCTACTTTCCCTCTTTTCTTATAGCATGTTGAGAAAATCTGTTGGGTTTTCAGTAGTCAGGGAAGGCCGGAGTTCTGCAGCTTTAATCTGGGTAACTGAGGCTGGTTTGAGCAAGACTTTGGTTAATTAACTGGGTTCTCAGATGCCACAGACTCCGTGAAAAGTCACCATTATTTTCAATGGTTGTGATAGAATTTCCCCCAGTAGCCATTATTTTAAGATTATATTGCAGAGTTGCTTTATTTGAGCTTTTCGTGTATACACAATCCCAAACTGGAAGAAATTTAAAAAAAAAAAAAAGGAATCCTGCTGTGAAAGGTATATATTACTCTAGATTTTTCTTACTGTAAATATTGTAAGATTGTAATACTGTCGATATTTTATTAACCAACAAATGTTAATCTATGTGAACTCAGACTTATTTTAAATGTGCTTCTTATTTACTGTGTGTGGTCCCTGTTGCTGACAGTATTAAGTTATATTCTGATGTAAGATTAACTTTATTAAAGAATGTAAACATTAATGTTTCCTTATGGGAAGACAAATAAAGTATAAAGAAGACAATTCTTTTCATTAAAATATACTGTGTATTTACATTTGCTAGACCCAGCACCACTTATAAATTTAGTACACTGTTCAGAATTTTAGTTAACACAGCTGACATGGTTGTGCTCTGTTTGAAAGTCTAAAAGTAGGTGTCGTTGGAATATAAACAGTTTCTATTTGTCTGCTGTGAATCATAATCTTGAAGTTTCTAATCAAGTTTGTAAAATTTTTATAGTAAAACATTTTAATGACAATTTAAAAATTTATCTTCTCTAAAGAACGGTCAAAACAATATCCTTTCAGAAATAGAATGTTCTTTATTATCTTTCCAAAATGACTTTGGTTAAATGGACCAGATGTATATTAATTAAAATTTAGGACAAAGTTGTGATATTCTTTGAGTTTACAAGTTAATCCTTATTGGAGATGTGCCAATTATACAGTAGAATATCATTAATTTGCACTGTTTGGGGACCCCATTAAGAATGCTGAATTTTGCCAACTAAGAAGTAAGCAAATGCAATTTAAATAGTAAATTTGAGCATTCTGTATTAAATATGTGCAGTTATTATCACATGAAGAAGTGCAGTGTGTCAGACTGTAATATAACCATACTTGCTGTCATGTTCTCCCATCTCAGTGCTGGGAACTCACCATGTGGAAACCAAGCAAATGTGTTGTGCATCAGCCGGCTTGAGTTTGTTCAATATCAAAGCTGAAACTAGCGAGGTCTGCTGTACTGCTTATTGAAGTATTGTGATTCTTTTAGGCATTGATTCTTACAAAATATATACTGTAACAGTATACTTTGTACAGATTTAAATTTTATTTGAAAAAAATGAAATAAAGTAGGCAAAAAAATAAAGATGTTTATTTTTCATGTGACTGTATAAACAGATCAGTCTTTTGTTTCAGTGCCTTTGGCGGGGGGTGGGGGGGTGGTCTGGTTGCTCTTGTTTCTAATTTTTGATAGATGCAAACCATTTTTAGGACTCAGTAGCACGTATACTTGCCTGATCATTAATTGGCTGCAAGCATTAAGTGTGCTCTCTCACACTAGAAAACTATTTTCGTTTTTATTTTAAAGCAGATTTGTTTATTTTTAAAGATTTTATGTGAATGGCTTTCCTATCTTGCTTTTTAAGTCAGTTTTGAAAACTCTCTGATGGTGTGACAGTTAACTTAGCTATTACAATTGAAGAGAAAGAAAAGTTTCCCCACAGATCATGCCTCTTTCCCATGGAAGGTTTCTGTTTTCTGTCAGTTTAAATTTGAAGTTGGTTTGGGGTAGTGGAAGGGTTACAAGAGAGTATATGACAAAAGATGAAGAGAATCCTCTGCAGAAAATAGAGGTTGAACTTGAAAATAAGATTCTTTCAAGATTGCTTTCTTGTGAGTGGAGTGAATGAAGTTTCCAATAAAGTGTGGCACAGGAGTAATCCTTTAGGATAGTTTTAATGGGACCTTCTCATAGAAGATTAGATTACCTAACCAAGAAGAAACACCCCAGTTTGAGCCTCTAATTCAAAAGTCAGTGGAGGCCTCAGGTGTAGGACGTTTTCCTCGGCCTTTAGAAGTGGAGGTGGAAGTTTTATTTGTGGCTTTCTCCTCATTTTATCCTTTCTGGTGCTCTCACTTACCTTCAGGCTGGATATGGGAAGGCTTGGAACAAGTAGTTGCAGGAACAAGGTTCTTGAAAAAAATCACATTATGGAAAAAAAATTAATGTTATTTAAATGTGTGTGGCAATGGCTATAGTCTAAAAACTGATGCATAGCCATTAAAGTATCTCAAGTTCACTGTGTCATAGTTCCAGGCTTCCCTGGGTGAATCCCAAGAAACTGTTGTTATTGTTTTGTTTTTGTTTGTTTTTTTCCTGCTAAAATGTCCCTCCTTTGTACAGAACAGCAGACTAGCTGTTGGCCTACAGCTAGCCACAGCTAACTGTTGGAATAGCTTCCACATCTGACAACTACCAACTCCATTAAAAATAATGCAGAAACTTTGCAATATAAAAACTTAAAGCAAAGCTGACGCTGCCACTGCTTGGGAGAGGTAGGTGGGGTGCTAGGAAAGTCTAGTTTTCCCTATGTTCTTCAATGCCTCTGATTTGGGGGTGGGGCACAAAGGACAGGTGGGTACTTCCTGAAGAGGAGACCAGAGATTCCCCTTTCTCCTCAAAGTGGGATCAGACAAACCCTGGGTCTCTGTCTGAGAGGAGGGCTCTTTGGTACAGGAGCTTGTGGTGGAAACTCTAGCCATCATTTGTAGTAGTAAGTACAGGAAGTAAAAAGCCAAAAGCCAGTCTCCTTTTAACTGCCCTGTGGCCTTAATCTTTTAAAGACTCCAAATGGGACTATGATTAAATATACCCTGTGGTCATTTGGGAGAGCAAGAGGTGATGTTTTATTTTCAGGGCTGCAGGGGAACGTCCCACACTTGGAATAGGTCTGAACTACAGGGCAAGGCTTGCAAGGCCACGGGGACCCCTGAGAAAGGAGCCCAGCATGTTCAACAGAACTATTTGTGATTTTTATCTAGCTCTTCTTGTTTCTAAAGTGATGTAATTGGCAATCTTCCCAACCCTACCTCCAATTGATGTTAACTTTTATTTAACCATGTGGTATGTCATTTACTTTGGCTCTTTTTGCATGGTTTTTAGAAGTCTCTTTGTTCCTACTTCCAGTAACAATTTATTTTTTAAGCAGACAGGACTTTTTGATTTGGGGAACTGGGTTTTGGAACTGGTTCTGTTCATTCAGGATCAGAGTAAAGAGAGATCTCTTTTTCAGGGTTTGGCTGGCCACTGCCCCGAGGGCCAGCACACAGCACCACCGCCTTCACTTCAGCACACCATCCCCCACACTTCTGCAACTTGAGGAGGAGGAGCCACTTCCCCCCCCCCCGAAAATGGGGATTCTACCGTAATATTGTAAATCTCCAGAGCATTTCCAATAACGTCATTCCGATTTTCCTACCAACATTGATTTTCATTCATTTTGATTTGTTCAAATCAGGCCATTTGGCACTTACGTTGGCAGTGAGAAAATGTCACAAAACAGACTCACTGAATGTTGCAATGTTTAAAAGAGCAGGATCCCCACCCTACAGCCAGCATGGTGTCCAGTGAGCCTCCATCATCCTAGGAATCCTGACTCCCAGCATGCCCAGCTTGTACCTCCGACTGTCCCCAGGGAGCAGGAGTTTCCCTGTCAGCTTCCTGGGGAGATTGGCAGTAGCTCCAACCTAGCTCAGCTTTCTCTGTCTCTGGGTGCAACAATAAGGGTGGGTCTGTACTGCCACCACCCTAAGTTTTTCCAACCCCATTACTTTTTATTTTTTTAAACTAATGTTGAATGCTTAAAATATGCAAGGCACCAAGCTAAGCGTTTTGTCTCAGTTATTTCATTTAATTATTACTACAACCCTATGAGATAGGCACTATTATTACTCCCATTTTACAGAAGAGGAAACTAAGGCACAGAGAGATTAAATAACATGCCCAGGGTCCCACAGCCAGAATTCAAGTCGTGAGTCCTGGCAGGCTGATGTCCTGGCACATCCTTGGTCTCCGTCACTCCAGTGTATCACCTTCCCCATGAGGTTCTGCCTCCTCTTCCCCTAACCGGTAGGCTCTCCCTGACTTTGATGTTGCCTCACCTGAGGATGTATTTATCTGGATGGCAAAGCCAATGTTCCCTGTAGCATAGCAGGATTTCTCAGAGTCGCTCAAAAGCCACAATTCCTGTTCTAAAGGTTGTCCTGAATGAATCCACATTGTCATCTCCCCCTCTTCTTTCTTGAGGGAGTGACTTAGAGCAGGTCTGAAGAAAGCTGGCAAATGGCCCTTCCGGGCCTCACTGTCTCCACTGCTCTTGCTTAAAGTAAGCACAGCCCTGAGTACTTACTATTCCTGCCTCTTCCCGCGCTTACCACAATGACCTGATCAAAGGGCTGTGTGAATGCAGCTCTTGAATTCTGTTTGGTGGAGCTGTCGATTTCTTTCTTTTTCCCAGATTATACCCCCCAGCAGACACCCTATCTTCTTTACTGCAGACCTCCAACCTTGTCCTATTTGACTTCAGATGGAGGCTCAAAAAGGATCAGGAGGCAGTCTCTAGGAGAGGATCTGGGTCTACACAGATTCCCAAAGCCTCACTATTCACCAATAATTGGCCCAGTAATTGGATCTGCCAGGGCCAGCCCTATAGTTTCCAGCTCAGAGTTTTGCTTGGGCTTTCATGTTTTCTCAAGGCACTTGCCTGCGTCCACTAAAATGCTATTTCCCAGATGCTTCCTGACCTCCAAGGGGAGGTGCAGAGTCTGTCACTCTCCAGGGGCTTCTTCCAAAAATAAAATGCAAAATTCCTTGGGACTTAGGGGTGGTTTAGAGAGCTATGGCATCTGTTAGAACTCCTGTCCAAAAAGGGAATATCATAATTTAACCTGGAACCCCTTGTGATTCTTGTATCCTCTAAAGCAGTGATTCTCAATGTGTGGACCCTGGACCAAGAGCTGTAGCGTCCCTTTGGAAAGTATAAGAAATGTAAATTCTTGGGCCTCATTCCAAACTGAAGTGAATCAGAATCTGCTAGGGCCCAATCGTCACTCTTGTAACAAGCCCTCCAGGTGATCTGACGCACGTTGGAGTGACAACAACCACTGCTCTGTAAAGCAAAGGTGATGTCTTTTGGAGTCTAGGTTTGAGAGTCTGATGAAAGCTTGGGGCCCTCTCACCTTCTTCATAGACCCGCTGAGGTCCAAGTTCAGAATCCCTGCTCTGGAACTCAGAGCTTCTTCATCCCTCCGTGGCTTCCACCCTCTCAACACGACCTTGAGAAGGGGTGGCCACAGACTCTCTGCTTGTTTTTTCATCTGTATACTGTCGATTGTCACTGAGAGTGGGCAGCCCCTGTGCCAGACAGCACAGAGAAAAAGGCTTGCTGCTCCCTGTATGTGCTGTAACTGTAACCCATGGCATTGAGACAAAAAACAAATGCTCAGGCATGGGGCACCAAGCCAGGAGCCTGGGACCAAATAGAAAAGTGATTCCTTCTCCTGGAGCTGGGAGCTCTGTGTGAGAGCAGCCCTGCTAAACAACTGCTGAACTTCCTATGACAGTCCTGGCTGGGGCTAGAGCTTTGTGAACTGCAGCTAGAGCTTTGTCAATGGCAAATCCTGGTCATGCCTGTTGTCCCTGATTCATTGTCTATAGCATCCCCATTCACTTGCACAAGTTTCCTGGTTTGGATGACAGATTATATGGTCACCCCTTTTCTCACCTGACAGCCTTCTTACTGGTCTCCTTACGGCCATGCTTGCCCCCCTGCAATCTATTCTCCACGCAGCAGCTAGGCTCTTAGGATCTGGCCCCTGCCTAATTCTCCAGTTTTCTCTCCCCCCTTTCACCTCTTTGTTTATTTCTCTTAAGTCACACTGGGCACCTTTCTGTATGTTGAATTCATGGAGTCTGTTGCCAGCTAAGGGTCTTTGGCTTTGCTCTCCCTTCTGCCTAGAACATACTTCCCTCCAGATCCTCTATGGCTGGCCGGTTTTCATAATCAGGCCTCAGCGTTCATGTTCTTCAAGGAGGCCTCCTCTGACCACCCAAGCTGACATGGCCTCTCCAATCACTCTCCCTCGCCTCTCTGCTTCATTTTTCTTCCTAGTGCTTATTATCACTGTCCAAAATGGTCTTTCCTATCCTTTTCTGTTGATGGACTAATGCTGTGAGGGTAGAACTCATTAAGGCATCGCCAGTTCCCAGACTAGTCTGGCACACAGCAGATACTTAATAAACATCTGTTGGCTAAGTGACTGGACTCTAGTGGGTCCAGGCCATTTCTGGGAGTAAGCAATGCCTCTGGGCTGACTTCCTCATCCAC